TAATTAACTATAAAAAGTTAAGTTACAACAATAAACATTTTAACTGAATAAGTTAATAAGTTAAAAACAAAAATAATTAACTAGTTAAGTTAAAAAGTTAAAAAAAATTAACTTTTTAACTTAACTTTAACTTTTTAACAAGTTAATGCCCACCTTTGAATAATAGTCCCTATGATGTTACATTTAATATAAAATATTTAACATTATAGATCTATAAAAGTAAACAACACCAATGATAAAGATTACGAATCAGAAAATAGGAAATCTTGATATGTTATATAAGAAAAAGTACATATTGATAGTTCAAACCATACATTTAAATAGGTACTCTATTAATTTAAATGAACATTAAAGAAAGTCAGTTTGCAATCAATTACATATCTGGTTTTAGAATAATACTTTAAAAAAGATTTTATTTTATCGAATGTAACTCAAAAATCTATCAAATGCCATGTTTCTATAATTAGAAATAAGTATTAAAAAAGCTAAAGAAAACTCAAAAGTATATACTTTTATAAATAATACAAATTTTTTGAATTTTGGAACAGATTTAAGTGTGCAAAACATTTTTTTGTTTTAAACATCTATGATACATGGCCAGTAGACAAAGTATTTGAGAGACTACAAAAGTTCATTATCTGCAGTCTTTGAACATATGATAATAGAGGCAAAGCATAATTTATTTACCATAAACCTTCAGATAAAGTTATTGCTAAGATTAGTGTCCCTGTTACATGAAGTTTTTTTTGGAAAGGTAAGAGATTGTGTGAATAATTCATAATTATTACAATATGTGCAATAGTTGCTTATACGTATTTTGCTTATTATTTACAATGTTGCACCAATGAACACTATTGCTTATAACTTTGATTTCAATAAAAAAAACTGTGAAAATATTGTTTTGTATTTATTTTGGATATACCTACGTTTTTTTTATTTTGAGTTTTATACACATTTAATTATATAGAAATAATGTGATTATAAAAATTTACTAGTATGGGTAACATACTACACGAGTACACAATCTTCTATTAACGACATAAAAACCGTCCCGTTCGAAGTTTGTTGAACAAATGTTTCTTTGGGCTTACAATGCTGTTAGAATCAGTTTGCTTCTTAGTAGATACAAAGAAATAGCTATACACCACCTGATATCATCTAATGTTACATGTTAAATGACAGACTTGGCTAATGCGAAAAACCAAAGGTCAAAGATAAGAAATGTCTCGTATTTGAAAGGAAAATTATGATTAGAGTTGTTGGAGACATCATCGAGAGAAATAAGTAGAGAATAAGAAAGAACGAAGATCTAGAATCACACTCTCTCAGAAACAAAAATCGTCATCGATGAAACCATCATAAGTGAGATATCACAATGGGTAGGGCAAGTCTGAATAAGACAAATCTCTACTACTTTGTATATTTTTTGAAAGTAACCACAAAAAATGAAAAAACCCTCGGAATACCAAGGATGAGGCTGGAACGTGGTCAAAAAAGATCTGTCATAGAATAGGATCGGATATGAAAGCACCAGCATCAGATAGAGGAGGGTAGAGGTCTGGATGATATGTTGAAACCACGCGAAATTGCAGTTCTACGGAGCAAATTAAGGTCGTTTCGTATTGTACAATCTCTACTTGGCACTCCATGACATAATAATAGAATATGAAATACCAATCGACCAAAAACGCAGACATGCAGAAACTTTATGGTGAACGCACGAACTAAGTGTTCACTCACCAGTCACCGATATACGACGTAGAAATATCTTCAGCATCGCCAGCAGTCCAACGACCAACAGCTAACATCCACGATCCAGTGGATGTAAATCCTTTTTGAAGAAGTCAAAGAAATGTATGTAGAAATAAGTGGTAAATTTTGCATGTAAGATTTCATTCTACCGTTAAAGTTTATATTTTTTAGATTCTGAGTGAAACGATGAATATTGTATTGATTTTACAATGATGTGTGTTTTTTTATTTTTGTGTCTGTGTACGCGATATGTAGTCGAAATAATGCTTCGATTTTCAACTTCAATATCTTGTTTGATGGGAAAGTGAATATTGTTGGTGCATTGAGGAGGTCAAAGTTTAAAATTCAAAATAGTTTTCAAAAGCACCGGAAAAAACAACATAAAAATTAAGAAAAACCGGGAATTTTTAAGCAAAATCGACTTTGGTTTTTGGGTAACTTTAAAACAAATAACCTCAGATACATGAAATTTTCACTCATTGTTTATATTTGCATTTTCTATGCACGATAAAATTTTCAAAATATTTTGATTTGTTTTGAACTGTTTAGGACCACTCTCTGCAGTTTCCAATTTTATTAGTTTTTTTTCTATGAATGTCATAAAACTTTATTTGTTGATTAAAAATACTTGACAATTTTATACAATGCTCCTACTATATTGTTACAATGACATATAAAAAATATTAAAAATCCTTAGTCACAGTTTTTTTTTATAAGCATTTAAAGTTCAAATTTTGACAAAATACTGAAAAATCATGAAAATTAGCAAATTATATGGAGTTCAAATTATTTTGTTATTTTGTTGTTATTCAAAAACCAATAACTTTAGATACTAGAAGATTTTACTGAATGTTTTTTTTTTCGTTTTCTTTACACCATAAAATTTTGACTCTTTTTGAACTGTTTACGGACATTTTCAGTTTTCAATTTTTTTAGTTTTTTTTTCCATAAATATCAATAAAATTGTATTTGTTGGGTAAAAAACAGTGAAAACTTAATGCAAGGCTCTTGATATATTGTTACAATAGCAGTTGAACAATATTAAAAATACATAGGAACAATTTTTTTTATAAGTATTTAAAGTTCGAATTTTGACATAATTTATCAAATTTAAAATTTAATAACTATTTTGTAGTTAAGAATGTATAAAATTTTCAACTTTTATAGCTAAGGATTGAAAATTTAAAACAAGGTTCCATGTAAATAGGTTATATATAAATTACTTTATTCACAATAATATCATCAAATATATTTAGTAATATCATTATCATCGGCTGACTAACCTCTAGTTTTATCATTGAATTCAAATTTAACACCATCGATTACAGCGACCCGCTTGTAACCTACTGTATAGCAGAGCAAAATCCACATTTTTTTCATTAATTGTAACTTTTGCTTCTTTGTGTAACATGTTGGTATTAAATCTACTGACATTATTTGATTTATTTTTGAAATAATTAATAAAGGTTATTTTTTACATTTACAATTTACATTTAACATACTATATTATTTTGCCAACTTACAATATACTTGTACCTTTAACATGTAAGTACCTATTATTTAAATAAAATGTTTCTGCTGTTATTACACCATTTACATTTAAAAAAAATATTGTTTAATTTTCATCCTTACGAGTACTAGTACAAGTATATGTAAAATCTTGGATCCCCTACAAATTATATTAAATGTCTTTGAAAATGGGCAACAAATATAATTGCAAATAAAAGGACGCCAATAATAGTTAGTCTAATATTGTCCGTGTTTATAAAACCATGTTTAAATAAACATTATTGAGAACTAAATACATCTTAACTGAAACTAGTAATTATACCCGTAATCTGTATATAATATACTATTTAGTAAATTAATTAAATATTTAATTAAAGTCACAAATCACAATGATGAATATACTCAATAGAAACTCAAATATAATACCTACCTATAGCAAAAACGGTAAGAACTGCGTACTACCAAATAATAATTTATCTACGAATAAATTATTTATAGTCTATGACATGCCTTTGAGAGTAGTAACAAAAGAGAAAATTATCTAATTTTTTGAAATAAACATTCTTGCAGAGAAATTACATATTTTAGAAATTTACTTTGTTCTTTAATACCATTATTTTTTTGGTAGTTTTTTCTTTAAATACTTAAAGTTAAGAGCATTGCCCGAACTTTCATTCAGCTAGAAAAGTGTCCATTTTAAATATTTATAAGACAATCATTCTGAATGGATTCAGATTGTATAATTAACAAATTAAATAATTAAAGATTTAGTTTTATTAATTTGCAAAATAAAGTTTTATTAAGTTAATAAACTATTATAGGAGTTAAATTATTAAATTAAACTCATAGAGTACCTATATATTATTCAGAATGTTGATATACTATCATAAGTCATAATTCGACATTGGCATTAATTCCATATTATACGTCTTATTTTAAAATTTACTAAACGATAAGTAGTACAATGTCTAATACTTATAATAAGTCGATTTAACTCTAAAAAACATATAAATATTACAATATTATTTAAAAAAGTTGTATTGTAAAAATTATAAAATGTCAATAAATTCTTTAGAGAAATATAAGCGATTTGAGTAAACCAATACAAATATATTTATTGATAACTGTTGTAATTTAATAAATAGATTACAATTGAAAATATGTTTCTATAGTTGGTGTATAGATACATATTATCATTTAGATTATAATAAACTATTTATCATAATTACGATAAATTGGTTTTAAACTGATTTAAAGTTTATTAAAGAAAATAAATATAGTGTATTATGTATTATGTATAGATATATGGGTAATTAATTAATTTGTTTGCTTTAAAACTTAATTACGTAATAAAAAAAGTATATATACACAATAAAATACATTTAATTTTATACAAACTTTAATAATTGGTTTCGTGTACCAAAAGTTTTTACTAATAGTATTGCATGCATACATGCATGCAAAAAAATCTTGTTCGCCTCTACCCCGAGAAAAACTATCTGTAGGTACTGCGTGTATTAATTTTTAACGAGTCTCGTGACGGAATATTGTTTTTCGAAAATAAAACTTTTACACCTCTAAACACGCACTTCCGATAAAATTGTTTTTATTTTATTTTTCTTGGCGACAGTTAATCGTTTTAATGTAGGTATACTGAAATCCAAAAATTACACTTGTTCAACAAATAAAACAATCAAATCCGATTTTAGTTGAGGTATAGTAGTGGTATTACTGCAGTCATGACTGAAAACGATGATGTCGGTAAGCAAAGTTAATCATACAGGTTAAAGACATAGGTACATTTTCCTTAGTGGATGAATAAATGAATATTCGTTTGAAATTAAAAAAAATATATATATAACTAGTTTGGTAACGCGACGTACCGTAATGTTTTTAAATTGTTAATAATCAAAAAAAAATTTTAAATATAAATGTTTTGAATGTTTTTATTATGCAATAAAAATTCGAATGGTTTTTTAAATTATCCATCACGAAGAGATCGTAAGTTATATTTTCAGTTAAGGCTGGTTTTAAAAAATGTAATATACCTAGTAATTGTTTTTAATAATATATTTTCAAACATCGTATGTAATTTTATACCTATTCAAATTAACATCATTATATAAAAGTCTGTATAATATTATTATATTATAATATAATGTTAACAGTGTTAATTTGTTTTTAAATTTTAGAAAAATAACATTATATATTTTTGGTAAAATATTTCTTTGGTGTGTTTATTTTTAAATATTGCATAGTTTACCGTTATATTTTGACTATAATAGGCTATGAAATAATATTTAATAAAGTAAGTTAAATCGTTCAATTATTTAATTGAAAAATTTCCGACGGTAAAATGTAATCTGCGATATTGTTATGGGCTTTATAATAATGTCTCATTAATAATGAGTTATCATTATACATATCGTTGTAAAACTGATCTGTTTTCTAAATATTTTGATTTTTAATTTCAAAAAATTCTTGTACAAATACCTAACGACTAACGTAGTGCCAATTTTATGTAATAATGAAAACGAATATCCGGTAAAGATTATGTACCTAATTGGAAAGAAAATATATTATTATATATTAATAACCGAATTTGATCTTGATACGATTTGTAATAAAATATTTTAAATATTACTTGTCTATAGATACTAATATACTATATATAGATTTAAATAGTTATTATTTAGGTTTTAATTATTTGTACATTTTATACTTAAGTGTTGGAAAATAAAAACTTTAAATGAAACAACAACATTACAAATTTAATTATTACAGATTATTTTCAATTTTTTAATATCATGATTCAATTATAAATATAATTGAATTGATGTCGACCTTCCTGTCAAGTTATACCTACATAATCTAAATTAGTAAATATAATTAAGTTTGACAATTTATTTAAATTTTTATATTAACATTTAAAATTATATATACGCATTATACTATATGTACCTATAACTATTGTAACACCTACCTATCTTATACATTTTGATAACACTAACCACCCATTTAACAAAAAAAAAAAATTGAATAACTTACCTTTAATGTGGATTATAAGTCAATTTCACTGGTTTTATAATTTATAATTATTGATAAACAGTATATAATATAAATGTGTTATAATAAACCTATTGAATATTATCGGTTCCTCATATAGTCATATCGTCAAAATATTTTTATCGGGCACATAAGTTAATGATGGTTTTTGTTTCCATCTGCAAATTATGTTTACTTTCATTTCATGTGAACTATACAAATGTTGTTATTTATGACAATAATACACTGGTGTTATATGGATATATATAGAGTGATTAACCAAGCATGCTAAAAATTTGCAATAACAAAAAGTGATTCTTGTTTAAAAAATTAAGCTTATATTATGACATGAAACTTGTTGAATGGTATAAAAAAATCTAAGTATCTGAAAAAATGGCGTTTGAATTTAATAAAAAAAATTATATAAATCAGAATTTAAATAAATTCATTATTAAAGGATAAAAGACCATGCTTAGTGAATCACTCTGTGTATATTAAATATATAATATATATACATATGATGTATGGATTTTTATCGGTACCTACATATAAATACTAGGTATATACAATTGTGATAACCGCAATGTTAAACACTTCAACACTTTTATGCTTTTGTAAAAATTATTTAAGTTATAGACAAGATTTAGGCAATGGAAGTTTGGCGCTCGTTATACGGTTAAATATATTAATACATAATAGGTATATTTAATATTACCTACAGTATAATTAAACCGTAGATAATATTATTCTTAAATAAGTTTAAAGCGACTATGCTTAGATAAAATATATTAACAATAATCACTAGAACTAGTCTTTTAAATAAATCACATGTATACATTTTAATATTAGTCATTCACCCATTTACATATTATTATGTTTATTTACAATGTATAATACATCTTCCGGATTGACCAGATACACCAAAAATTGAAATTGATCACTATATTTTATGTATTGGAGTAGTGTACGGGATCAAAATAAGGTTTTACTATTGATAATGACTAAAATCAAACATACGAATATACCATAGTTATAAGTTCTTACTGTCTAGTAGAAATAGTAATAAACGACGATATGTAGGTGTGCAGATATCGATTTCGCCATAGGTAACGTGTGATTACTCTATAGGAAATAAGATATCTAAAATTATGATGATAAAATAAAATAATATAATAATAGAATTATTATGATTTATTTTAAAATACAAAAAAATACTAATTATTAAATTTGTAGTTTCTATATTATACATCATATACAAAATAAAGCTTTTTTTGAAAAAATATAGTCATATTAATCGATTTTGATCAGTCAAGTTTACAATTTACATAGAATAACTTCCAGATCCAGTCGATTACCTAATCAAATATAGCTATAAAATGATATAATTTAATAGTGTGTAGTATGTACAAAATATAAACTGTTGAAAGTATAAACTTTCTTAGTTATTTTTAAAAGTAAAATATGTTTCCCGAATTTTTGGCTTACTTATATCGTAGCTTGTAGGATTATTGTTTTCCAATATTTCTTTGAGAAATGAGAATAATAACTAGGTAAGTATACATTTAATAGACGACTATTATAGTTATACAAAACAAAACAATAAGACCAATCAGATAGAAAAATTATGTCTAGCTAAATATTTAATCAATTATTAAAACAAAGGACAGAATGCAAATTATTGAATTATAACTATTCTTTATTGATCCATGGAAGTTTTGAATGATTTATTTGTACCTATAAATGTATTAAACTATCTAAATACACATGCATCATATAGGCGTTTGTTTCTTTTTATGATATAAATATTTTCCTATTTAAAACGTGTTTAAAAATTCTTAATGGGAGATTTAGTTCGTGACAATCTGGTACCTATTTTTAATGGTTTAGTCTAAATTTGTTTCATATTAAACTAACCCGCCATAAACTTTCTACTTGTATGGTGTGTTTGAAACTGGGATTAAGTTAATCTTCTATATTGAACAAAATTCTCTCTTAAATAAAAACAAACTTTAAAAATATTTCAAAATTAATTTTATATTTTGCAAGTAAAAGAAATATATTGGTTTTAAAATATGTTTTGCCCAATCATTTTTAAATTAGTTTAAAGGCTCTAGCAATTCTATATCATTATATCAATTGACACATTTTACTCTGTACAAAAACTATATCATTGTATTTTCTAACAAAAATATTTTAAAATCGATTAATTATGACAAATAACAATTATAATGAGTTTCTTTTAGTCATTTTAGAATGGCATAATTGATCATACTCCAGTTTAAAATAAAAACCCACTTAAGTTTCTCTTTTTATATTTAAAGTGTACTAATATTTTATTTGTATAAAATGTATGACAAAAATGTTGTATTCGAATAACCTACGTTTATGAAGCTGTACCAAGAACGAGAAAAAAATGTATAAAGGGCAATTGAAAAAGAACATAATATAAGGTATATACCTAATATGGAATTACTGATGCGATATAAAATTTCATAAATACTATACTTTTGTTTATGTTGGTTAATTTTTATTCACTTTAAATATTTAATATTAAGTATTCAAAAATTATAATATGCCATTTTTGATTAGTGATCTACCTGAAAAAAGTCATAACGATATATTTATAATTGGATAATTGACGTGCTGCACTGTTTCACTCATATAAAGTATAAATAGATATAAATATTATTCCTAATAAAATTATTAGTTAAATATTTGTATTAAAATTCTGTGCTTTAGATTCGAAATTTAAAAATATCGGTTATAATATGTACTCTATATAAATGGATGGTTATTACATATTTGTTTCCTCCCACATGTAAAAAAAAAATCAAAATCATATGTTATATTATGTAAAATACTAAAATTTACTTAAATAAACAAAACAAAAAAAAAAAAGAACTGAAATATATTACAAAGTAATTTATAGCTGCATCTCTAAAATATATTCTTATCATAATAAATATCACGATAAAATACCAACCAATACCCAAATTTATTGATGAATAATATAAACGATGCTTTGACACCCCAAGAAAATAAATATTTTAATATCGAAAAATAATGGAATTTATGTACTATTATCATGTGATAAATTACTATTTGCTATAATGGAGTAGATTTGTTTTAAACTTTTATTCATATGCTGCATTCACGTAATATACATGCATTAATCATTATTAGTATTCACTATTGGTTTTTATTATTCAGAGTCCTTATAACATGTACAATAATGTGTTCTGACAATTATTTTGAATATGTCATATGCCCATATGCGGAATAATAAAATAAAAATTTGTTAGTGTTTTTTTAAATTATAAGTTTCCTATGTACCTATGAACAGATGTGAATATGCAATCGATGTATTTATAAAAGATAATATTTATATTTATCAATATTTTTATTCAGTAATATTGATGACAATAAAATAAATCGCATCCCTTTTTGACTTCCCCTAGTTTGTTAAGAATGTTTTTTGGAAAAAAAATGTTCACAATAATATATACTAGATTATTATTACTATATTATTATTATTATTAATATTATAATTATTACCTAAGTACAATTCTAATTTATTTGTTTTTAGATCGTGTTATGTATGCGAGGAATCAACAATACAAATACAGTAAGGAACCTGTTACGGGCGGGCAACCTATAACAGTCGAACAAGCAAAAGTAAGTTATTTGTACAATTGAATAACATTCAAAATATTTTATCCGTTTATGTTTACTTACGTGCAAATTTCCAAGTAAAAATGATTATATTTTAATGAATTATCAAAGCTAATTTAAAGGAAATGCCTAATTTACGTTTAGTTAATTTAGTCTTTGGTAAGCTGTAAATATAAACTATAAATAAAAATACCTATAGCCTATGCATTATTGATTATATAAGAATAATAGTGTACCTAATATAATTAATGTAAAATAATGTTTATCATCTACGTACGACTGATACGTGCTAGATTTTGAACTATAGAATATATTTAACGCTCCCTTTGGTTCATCCCGTATTTTTTTAATTAATTGTGTGACACATATTTTATTGCCTAGCTTATTCATTGTCCAGACATTGCAACGGAAATATAAATTTCGATTTTGTTATCACTTATCTTAAGTACGATTTAATAATCTAAATGTCTTACTTTTAAATTTTAATTGTTGGTTGTTGATGACGACATGACGTAATATTCGCGTTTTCAATTTCTATATTTTCCATTATTTTATTTTCATGTCCAATGTATATAAATTTTATGTTATTTATGTTATTATTTAACAAGTAATTCATTAGCATTAAAATCATTTTTTATCTAGCGTACCCAACTCATTGTCAACATTTGACTTATCTAATTCATTATTTGTTACTTTAACATGTGATTTAATTTACTAATGTTTCTAATTTTAAAATTAATACAAAACAAAGGTTTAATATTATTTTATAATAAATTATATGAATACTTTTATTTCTAACCTAATTGTTAAGAACAGCACAATTAATTTATCAAACATCAAATTTTTGGATACCTACGTAGATAGTTCAAGAAACGAAATTCTGTAATAATACAAGTACCTAGTTAATCCTGATATGTATTTCAAAAATATTCTTAAATTTGTTAGACGTATTCTTAAACGTTGTATATATATTTTTTTTCATTTAAATACTTCGTGTTTAAAGTAAAAATGCATTCACAAATAAAATATACCATTTACGTTATTAAGGTTTTTGAAAACCACTATCCTTACTTAGATCTGTATTATAATAATTATACTTTATTTACAAAGTACACTTGAAATATTCACTAAATGGTCTCTTATTTTATTTTTAGTATCACATCATCTTATAATTATCTCTGTTTAATATATTTATAAGCATAAAAAGTTTAACAAAGCAAATATGACAACAGGTTATAAACATAAAAAATGATTATCAGAGAGATTTGGTTTCGAATACTCATGCGTGATATATGGACTGCTCTTAACTGCATAAGAACTGGTCAGGGTTGGTGTAATTATTAAATCTATAAATGGGGAATGGTTGACTCACCTCTCTGAAACTGTGGCCAGACCCAAACTATTGGGCACGTTGTTGGGGAATGAACGGAAATACTGTTTAAATAGCGGGAGAACAGCATGTCTACATAAGACCGATCAAAAAGCGTTAGATTGGCTACGCAATCTTACCATCCGCTTATAGCATCTAGCTCTTACTTGTAATTGTTATAACTATTAATGCAATTTATTTATTTATTTGTTTATTTATATTATTCATGGTACCGCATCAGGTTATTAGCTTATAACAAAATACATACCTATTAGTTATAATTTTTTTATATTAATTCATAAATATATTATTACTACAATTGTTAATATTTATTTTTATTTTTATTTCTGTTTATTTTTTTTTTTATGTTTGTATGCCAATAAAAAACATAAAAATAAATACATGGTAGGTACCTACTGTAAATCATGGTCAAATAACTAAATCTTTATTTTATATTAGAACTTAACTGTATGATAGTTGATTATTTCCTCGGTTTATACAAATCATTTTACACAATTGTCCAACTGAAAATTTATACCATTAACATTAATTCCAAAAGAGGTATTTATTTTTAAATATCCTTATTATTTGTTATATTTTAAGGCATTACGGTTGACTGTATTTGGTGCGTGTGACACACCACCTAGAGGCGAATGGCTCCGTACTGGGTTTGTGTTTAGAGATCCTGAGAAAGAGCTATCGTATGGCTTACGAGCACGCAGAAATGGTACACGAGGAATGCAGACCGCAATACAAGGATACATACTCAAACATTTGTTATTCACAAGCACTAATAACTCGTAAATATATTTAAGATAGTAAAACCATAAAAATTACAATATATTTCAAGTCTTAAGTTCTGTCATCAGACTATTCAATTTATTTTTTAAAACGATTCACTACTATTATCAATAAAATGTTCCTTTATGTCCATGTACCTATATATAGCTTATAGGTATATTGTTCATAACATAATATGAGGAAACTTTTTAAGCTGGAAAATTATAGCTCATCATATAAGAATAATCTAAATTGTATTCCAATTCTTAAAGAAATTATTTTATATTGATCATAAAACAAACTGTTAAAGTGTTACACAAAGATGGCAGAAGTTAATTGTATTTATTTTGAATTGTAATTTAATGAATTTCTTCATAATTATATATTATATATACCCAATAACGATTTCGAATCAAATACCAAAGTTCATCATATTCAATTTAAAAATTTGAATAAAACATTGAAACACTTATTAAATTGTTTTTTATTAGATGTATGAAACCATCTAAACAGCAGCAACTGGATGCTCTTTGTAAATCAATTACTGAAATCCTGTGGAAGATTGGCGATAACGAAAAAGTTATAGTATGTTTACCGCAAGAGAAGAGTTACGTAGCGCACTCGTTAAACTATTTCCAAGATAATGTTACCGAAAAAGTAAGGAGATTACCTATTATTAAAATTAACTCAAAACATGACATAATCTAGTCATAGTTTAATTCAAGGAAATTCAAAATACCACCTTCGAGCAAAATCCAACCCATGATTGTTATCAATGTGGCATTTTAAAGAAATCAAAAATTACTGAAAAATATCTTCTCTTAATTAGAGTGATAACAACAATACTAATATAAATATATTATTCAAATAAATAATTTGTATATTATACATTTAGTTTACGATTTTTGAACTGATGTCAAAAAAGTGGAGGTCCTTCAGAGACGGATTTACACAATTGCCGCCCCTAGGCAAATTTTTTTTTGCCGCCCCATTAAACTTATCAACGAAAAAACGTATTTTCAAATACTTATTTAACTTAAGTACTAAAAAAATAAATCATAAAGACTGATACTAAACAATAATTAATGACAGTTATGTTAATAAACTGTTTACTGTTCAAATAAAATGTGTTTATAAAATATAGTGTTTACTTACCAGTAATTTAAGTAGTATACTAATAACCGAATATGAAGTCTATCCGCCTTGAATGTTGTGTTGAAAATAATCGAATGTCTAATCAGAATAAACCTATTTTTTCTCGGCCGCCCTCTATTTCATAGTCCCGAAGAAAAATAAACAATTAGGTATTACATAATTTTATCTTTTGGATAGAAAAAGTTTTATTATTGTACAAATAATGCATAGTACGATTAGTACGTACGAGTATATTATATAAAAATATTCAGTGACTGGTTTATAATTAGACTATCGTTCCAATACGAATCGATCGTCACCCGTATTCGTATTAAATATATCATAATATCTGTATGTATTGTGAGTGTACTGTGTAGTGTGTGTACGCCGTGCTATCAAACAAACCACGAGCGACGAGCGATTATTAATAATATTATTACGACTTAGCAAAAAAACAAATTAACGAAATATGTTATCCATGTTTAGTATTTAGATAATAGATCTACGTTCCGGCAGTCGTTCGATAATTTACTTGGACGTTTATTGTTATGTATTATAAAATAAAGAAGAAATTATATTAACAAGAATATTATTGTACTTAAATATTAAACATTTTTTTATCCATCCTTCAGAGTAATCACCGTACATTAGAAAATCAAAAAGAAACTTAGAGTATTCTCAATAAAATATTGGCCTAAAATTGCCGCCCCTAAAAATTTGCCGCCCTAGGCAACTGCCTACTTTGCCTGACGCTAAATCCGCCACTGAGGTCCTTATAGAGCCTCAGATGATAGATTTTAAATTTTGAGGCTCATAGTTTTAATAATTAGCTGTTAAATAAACTTCCAAAAAATGGTAAAAAGAAAAAAATTTAAAAAAATTAAAGTAAATATAGGAGATTTAAGAAAATATTAATAGTTCTCAATATAGTATTCAACGTTCAGAATGTATTATGGAATAGTTTATATTTATTAATTTAGTTTTTATTTAAAGACACCCTCGGCAAGGCGGCAACGGCATAGCAATAGCCATTAGGAGTAATTCACAGAAATTTATTTACATAATATGGATTGCACATAATATATTATTTTATAATTTTGTTCTGTAGTGAGCCCTTTAAATGTCACACAATATGTCTTCTAGTCATAATATTATGCAAATTATAATATGTATTTAATTTTTAGTTATCTATTAATATGGTAAATAATTATTATTATATTATATTTAATTATAGCTCCACTTGTTCGAGTTAACCAATATTCAAGACTTAGAAATTTTCATCAAAAGATATTTGCATTTGGTAAGCTTATAACATTTTGAAAAAAATAATCGTTATACATTATAATATAAATGATAGTTTTACAATAAAACAATGTAGTTAATATTTAAAAATATCTTATGTCATTAATTGTATCTAGTTCCAAGACGATCCTGGACCCGGATCACTATTGTTGCTTTACAGTGCAGTGCTAACAAGAGGACTATCCAAGTAATTATCATTTTTTATTATTTCTTATTTAATTCGTCATAACATCATATGATATAATATTATGCTAACTATTTTTTAAGAAAACACGTTAATACATTATATCGAAACAATGATAAACAAAATTGTGAATATACTTATATTATATATATTATAGGTACCTATGTGTAAAGTGAAAATCACTGAAAAGGTTAAGTAACGTATAATGATATATTGAACTTGTTGAAGGTATACAATTTAAAATTCATTAGCTTTTCAATGATTTATTATTTAGTATTTAAAAACAATAAAAATTCTCAGAAAAAAAAACGTCAAAGTTATTACCTAATCCATACTATTAAAACAGAAGGAATTATTTACTTAGGAAAAGTAAACACTGATCAATTAATACATAATCGTTTAAACTTAAGTATTCTTTGCATTGTGATTGATAATTAATACAATCTAATATCAACGATTATATAATCTTAAAACATTTAAATTTATTAAACAATGTTTATAGTTTCTGATGCTTCTTCATTAACTTTAACATCATAATATTATTTGAATCATGATTTCGCAAAATGTAATAAATAGGTCACTTATTTTATATAAACAAATTGTTATCCCTTAAATAATTTTAATTAAAAATATATATATTTAATTTTCGTTTGTCTACAAGTAATAATTTTGATTTTATATTATTATTTATATATTAAGATTCTATAGTTAAAAATCAAAATTTTCCGTGGAACCCGAATCAGCTGTATACTATAGATTTGATTTAACTTCATCATTCAAAAGTTTTGTAAATTGTATATTAAATTTGAATTCAATAATAAATCATTGCATACAAAACATAATTCTGAACAAGTGAGAGAGGAGATAGCCTCTATCTATAAGGATAGCTTACTTTATAGTTTATAATTTATATTGTATTATAATTTATAATATATTCTATATTATCATTAACAATTTCTTAATTTAGTATAGATTAAAAAAAAAAAAAAAAGGTGCTCTGCTGTATAGTAGGTTACAAGTTGGTCACTGTATAATGGATGGTATTAAATTTGAATTCAATGATATAATTTCATTGTATAAGAAAAACGATTCTGAGCGAAAACGATCAGTCATCCTATGATAATTGATATTACTAAGTGTATTTGATATGATATTATTGTGAATAAAGTAATTTATATATAACCTATTTACGTGGAACCTTACCTATAAAGGTAGACAAACTTATGAGTAATCTTGAATTACATTTTAAAATCTTAGATTTAAAAAGAAAAATGTTTACGAATTCTTAAATAATTTCTCAAAATAATTTTCTAATTTTCGTGATTTTTCCTTTTTTTGTCAATTTTGTCAACTTTAAATATTTATAAAAAAAAACTGTGACTGGATTTAATATTTTTCATCTGCCTTTGAAACAATATACTAGGAGCCTTGTATTAAATTTTCAAGTATTTTTACTCAACAAATACATTTTTATTGATATTCATAAAAAAAAAAAACTAATGAAATTGGAAACTGAAAATGTCCCTAAATAGTTCAAAATAAATCAAAATATTTTGAAAATGTTATCGTGTATAGAAAATGCAAATATAAACAACCAGTGAAAATTTCATATATCTACGGTAATTTGTTTTAAAGTTACACCAAAACCCAAATTCGATTTTGTTAAAAATAGGTTATGCGTAAAAATTCCCGTTTTTCCTTAATTTTTCTTTTGTTTTTCTTGGCGAGTTTGAAAATTACTTGGAATTTTTTAAAATTTTGACCTCACCAATGCACCAACGATATTTATTTTCCAATCGAACAAGATACTGAAGTTGAAAATCGAAGCATTATTTCGACTACTTATCGTGTACACAGACACAAATAAAATAAAAAAATAAAAAATAAAACACACATCATTGTAAAATCAATACATCCATCGTTCCACTCAGAATCTAAAAAAAATCACATATAAATCAGTACAGTAGAACGGAAGAAATATTAAATTCATGGTATGCCTAATATAAATACATTAAATTCAGTCTACATAATTAGAAATGTTCATTATGTGTAGTTAATTACCTATGGTATAACTCAGTATAAGTGATAGCGGAGATTTTAAAATATCTACAAGAGTATATATTATTATATATTAATTTTTTAAGATATATTGTTTGACATTTATTGCTGTAATACCGCAGATTTTAATTTTGAAACTTCTCTTCAGGCTAATAATTTTATGAAAATATTGTGGTCTAAGAGATGACGAAAATCATTTAAATGTCTAACGAACATATTTTTTTTTTGGTGGGGGGGGGTTGAGGCTTCGACAACTGAGCTCATTAGCTATTGGAACTGTGGGGAGGGTAGTGTAAGTTTTGAACACGTGTGTGTTTATTTTGCCAGAATTTTTAAGTGGACACCCATAGGTATCTGTCATGCCCGGGTAGGGGAGATGCTCTCGGACACCGTGACTGCCCGAAAGAAAAATGCCACCCATGGCCGAGTTCGAACTGGCGAAGCAACCGATGCCTTAGTCCGCTCGGCCACTCCGTCCCCCAGAACAATATTTTTATTATTGTTTAAATGTTATGTTAAATACATTATAGGATATGTTATACAATATTTCTGCGTGGAAATGTTTTTGTTGAAACAAACCCATGAACCAAATATAAACGTAAACTCGTTTTAAATACATTTATTTACAAACAATTTAAATTGTAACAATATTTTTTTTTTGTGAATGCTAAAGAATATGTACCTACGCATTATTTAAATTGAAAAATCTAATTCGTGATTTTCAAATCGGATGGGCTTGTATAATAAATAATACTAATATGCCTGAGTGGTGCCACTGAACACTTCCAGTTCCATCAAACTCTCATAGTCCCGCACTGCATCTACGTAGTGTTTTATTTCTAAAGATATTAAATACTCTTATTTATTTTAGTTACTCGTATTTTTTATTAAAAAAAAAAAGGTAATTTATTCATTGCTATTTCTCTAGGATTGGTGATTAATTGTATTTCGTTGCGATAACTAAGTCCACTTAAATATGAAACATTGGCCATTAGTCCATTTTGATAAATAATGGAGTGTATATCATAATTAGTCCATACAGTATTTTTATAATATCCATGAGAATTTAAACTAATAAATACAAAAACAAGAAAATATAGGCTATATCCCGATATGAATGTGTAAAAAAAAACACATAATTGTTAAACTTAAATATAGAACATTGGTCATTAGTCCATTTTGGTAAACAATAAAGCATATACCATAATTAGTTCATATAGTTTTTTTAAGGCCGTGGGAATTTAAATGATTAGATAAAAAACAAGAACAATATAGGCAAAAGAAAATTACCGATAGGAATATGCAATAAAAAATATCACATAATAGTAAAACTAATACATTTCTCGATGTGGTCAGAATCTGAAATACAACCTGTGGAAGCTTTCTTACTAGAAAATTATAATATTTAAATTTTAAAATGTGATATTCAATATATTGTATTAAAACAACTCTATGCCACAGAATACAGTGAGAATGTACAGCCTGCAGAGTGACTGACATAGTCTAAACTCTAAACCGCGTCATTTTTATTAAAAAATATCGAAAGAAATTTTAAAAATAAAACTAAGCACATAAACATGAAAAATTGGTATATATTAACAAATATTTAATTATCTTAAATTGTATGTTTGATCTAAATGTCAAAATATGTAAAGTATAGTAAACAATAGCTGAAAGTTAATTACGTATTGCAATAATAAATAGATTATTTTTGAGCAGGGCTTTGTTAATCAATATTTTTAATTTGACCTATGGCTGTCAGATGTCAATATTTTATCAAAACAATACGATTTAATGAAATAACTTGAATTAACATGTCACCTGCAGTCTGCAGTTTTATAAACAAACATTTTCTATTATTTGAAAATGTCCATTAACTACTAAAAGGTATGTTGAAAATATTAAACTCTTACTCAACTGTATCTTCTAGTACCTTTATGCCATAATACTATGAGGTTTAATATACATGTGTAATTATAGTTTCTTTAATATTTAAAAAAAAATAATATGTAGTAGTATATTATATTTTAAAAACAGTAAAATAAAATACGAACTTTGGAAATTAAAAAAAACCCCAAATGTATAAATTTATAGGATGGCAAAATGTATCCCTTGTCACTTTAATATTATTTTATTGGGTCAAAAAGGACTCTTTTGACACCCACTACACTCTAAAATACTGCCTACCTCTTCTTTTTCTAAATGTAAACTTAATGATATTTTAACTTTTTGTAGTTCACCTTAAATGTCACTACATAGGTTGATTTTGTTTATTTCAAAGAATTAAATGTCCTTTGTATTTTTGACTTAACGATGTTAACATTGTATGCCTATCCACCTATAAATTGTATTATCATGTAGGTACATCTTTTATAACAATTTTTATTTAATACATTTAATATATATAAGAGATAAGAAGTTTCTAAAACACCAAGTTAGAATCATAAAAATATATGATGCGTTATTTAATAAAGCCAATTGATAGGTTGAGGAATAGGCACCATGATTTTAGGGTGAGATTTTTTTTTTTTAAACAATAATGACTTATGTCTTCTATTAGTTATTACAGAGTATACTAATAAAAACAACGACATTTCTAATGGAACGTTTATTATTTTGATTTTAAATTTATTATTTTTTTTTATTGGCACGGCATCAACAACTATATTATGTAAGGTTATTAGCTTTTTTAGTTTATTTTTATTTTAATTTTTTTTTATTAATTAACCCTCTGCAACTTAGGCCATTGGGTGGTTTTTAACTGTGGGGGAGGGTACTGTAGGTTAAACACGCGTGTTTGTTAGTTTGGCAGATTTTTTAGATGGGCACCGGTAGGTATCTGCTATGCCCGGGTGACTTGCCCGAAGAAAAATGCCGCCCGCAGCCGAGGTTTTGAACCGGGGTCGGTGCGCTTCGCAACCGACCGTGACGCCTTAGGCCGCTCGGCCAATCCGTCCCCCTTTTAATTTATTATAAGTTATAACATATTGTATTGTGTTTTTGTTATAACAAGTATGTCGTCACTTAAACACAATTTTTCACTATCTACATATTTTTTTTTTTTAAATTGCTTTTTTATACATAACATTAAACATTGCTCCTATCAGATTTCACTTGCTTTTATAAATATAAAATGTGATTTCTTAGTACTATGGCTCAACATTTTCTCTTTGAATAAATAAATAATAATTTAAGTTTTTAAAAGCTCTATGAATGCAATCAATAACCTAATAGATGAGTAAAACATTGATTCTTCGAATAATAGCTTATTAACTATTTATGTGAGATGAATTATATAAGACACGCCTGATATATATAGAAAGTCCATTAAATCAACAATCAAACGAAATAAATTTGATATAATATTTTTACAAGATTAAAGCTTATAAAATATTCCTTACATATTTAAAATATGTATACAATCCTTTCAAGTCCCTTGGGTAGTAGTAGTGAACGTAAATAAAAGAAAATAAGTATTTTTCATATTTTGTATAATGTCATTTTTAAATAAATAAAATAAATGTTAATTTTTTTGTAAGTATAATTTTGTTTTAATATTTATTGTTAAATGAATAATATTCTATTGAATGATTTTAATATTCTAATGTAGGTAATTATTTGTTTAATTCGAGTTTCAGTTTTGATAGGTACCTACTATTTTTTTTTAAAATATGTCACAAAATTAAAGTTAAATATACTAATATTTTCTTAAAAATCTTTAATTTTAAAATCTACAATGAATAATGATGATAATTATAAAAACAAGAACTAAGAAGATCATAAAAAACTATATTTTTTTGTAGGTTATTTAAATATCGTTATGTTGAGGCTGCATAATTTCATAAGCCATAATATTGAAAATAATTTTTTAATGTAATTAAAACACTTAAATATTAATATGGTTTGTAGTTTTTTAAACATTTCTTAAAATTAATTTAGCTCCTTTATGTAAATGATAATACCAATAAATAATTTGTTTATGTTTCTTAATAATTATTCTACAAACATTTTTTCAATACTCAGCTTTAGTATTTTTTGATTCCTTATTTACATCCTATAATTTCTCTATTAGGATCGTATCAGATTTAATGGATGAAAAAGTGTATCTGATATCAAGTGCTGAGGAAGGGTCTATATGCATCGTAACACTGATGCTTACCGGTAGAGCTACTCCTAATCTACATAATGGTATTGTGAATATTGGGGACGAACAACATTATGTGAGTTATTGTTTGAGTCGTATAAACAAGACAAATATATTGTTCTATAACATCAAATTATTTAAACATAATTTTAATTATTTTCAGGCCATACCACATTATGGAATATTAGCCAGAAGTGAAGTAGGTCTACTGGTTCATTATGAAGAATCCTCTACACCGGTACAAGTCACACAGATACCTGGTTCTCGGTTAAAAACGCCATCCTATCCTATTTGGATAACTTGTGCTAAAGGTCATTACGGAATACTCTTCAACACTAATAGGGAATTGTTAAGAAATCATTTAGCTGAACGAAGGTATATAGCAATACATATTTTATAATACTATACGCTATACCCATATTTATTATTTGAAAATAATGTCGTTTGGAATTTTACTACATGCTATAATATCAATACATATATTATATACCTATAGATTTTCATATCAATATAATAAAACTATATTTAACCATCTATATCCATTAATATGAATGCTCATATATATATAGATATTATATAAATATACTTACCTGCTATCTACCCATATTATGCAATAATATAAGCTTCTTACGCGTGAATTATTATTATTAGTAAACAAACATTGAATACAATTTTGAGAAAACTACGACCTATTAGTACTATTATAATTTATTAATACAAAATATATAAAATAACGTAGAACAATGTTCATTCGATGTACATTTACATTTGTATTGACTTTTCATTTTATCCTTGACTATTTACTGACTATAACCTAAGACTCGGTCTTAAATAAATAAAAAAATAACTATAACGTACAAATATGTCAATTAAAAATACTGTAGGTTTAGCGGTATGACGTTAACTGTAAAAAAGACGATGACATTAAAGATTTTAGTAGATTAAACATTATAATATGCCATAGACAATGAAATGAATAAATATTTAAATAACTGTCAGATTATTTATTGTAATTCTATACATTTTCAATTTGATAAGAAAATATATGTCTGAAGACCTAAGTGCAACAGTGATTAAAACATGAAAACACAATTAGATAAAACGGTATTGCAGGCTATTTGTAGCATATTTGTTCTTAAAAATAAACATACCAATAATATAAAAAACAAGAATAATTCAATAATGAAAAAAAAATCGTTATTAATATCTCGTATATTTTTCATTATTATATTTAAAACGATTAAATACTAAATATTATATACGTGGACAACCAATGAACATTTTTTTAATTTTTGAACATTGAAATTACACGCCATATATACATGCGTTTGTAACTTTGTTATTAACTTTTATCATAACTTGACATTAATAATACTAGATATTTTTATGACCATATTAGTGGTGTACAAAAATAATAACCACGATTTAGAATAATTTATGAAGAATGTATTCCATACACATTAAATTTAGTAATGCAAGATTCAATGCAAAACATTGCACATTCGACATTTTTTAACATTCAAGCATTAGTAATATATTTGACTAAAAACACAGCCATTATTTAACACTTCATAAGTAAATAAATATAAAACATTTTATTAAGACAATAAAAGTGAGCCAAAATAATGTGGCTTAATAACTTTTTTTTCAAATTTTTCGTTTCGTTTCATATTAAAATAATGTTATCGCCTATTTATTTACAATTTATAATTTATTATAACCCTAATAGTTATTATAATTAATTATAACCATTAAGTTATAAGTTAAAATGCATAAAAAACATTATATTAAAATAGTTACATACCTAACAGATTTTACCTATAAGTATTTATTTTGTTTGTAAGTCTTCATTATTTTTAGGATTTTGGGCACTCCATAAAATCTAGAAAATCCTGTGCCCGTGTAATCTACTTATTTAGATTTTAGAGTAGGTAGAAGGTACATACTATCGCCACTGCCCACTAGGTATACTGTACTTAACCGGTATGTTCCATGATGTGTGTCTCTAAAAACAGTTTATTCATAACTTTTTTTTTCTATTTTAATGTTATTTATAAATTATAATACTCTCTACTCTTTAGTCATAATGATTTAAATGTGTCACATTTATTTAGATTTATGTTTGGTGCCATTGTGAAAAAAAATAATAAGAACTACTACATTGGTCACCTAGTACATACCTACCTAGTAATATTTCTTACAGTTTAGTTCAAAGTTAGCTGTACTGCCTGTACTACGAAATGTAAATTAATAGGTAATAAAGATTATCTTTTAAAACAAATAAATTATTTACGAATATCCTTATTGAAAGTAAAATATACACGTTTATTAATAAAATGTTAGTAGGTATGTAAATAATAGTTTACTATATTGATGTTACTTTTATCTTTTTATTCGAATTGATTTAAAACATTTATTATTTGATCACTAGTTAGGTGTACCACTGGAGCTTCAATTATTTTAATAAAATGTATAATAAAGGTATACATATAAGTTTTAATTTAATACCACAAGGGCCGATAACGTTTCAATTTAATGATTTTAAAAACAAAATTGGAATTCAGATTTTATTTGGAACCTTTGTGCCATGAATAAAATAATTTATGTTCCAATAATATTATTTTTATAAATTGATCTTAACAATTTCCCATTATTTTATTATTAAAACTATAAAATAATGCAAAAAAATATTTTTAATAGGCAGAAACTTGATTGCATTTTTTGTAAGCTAGCAATAAGCATAGAGTAAAGTGGACTACACTCCGTTTACTAAATACGATTTCAATGAGAAGTGGTGGACTAAGCACCGGAAGCACTTATAAGTTATAATTGAATGTATACAACTTTTTGTACTTCGATTTCAGACCAGATGTTCAAACAATATACTTATCTACTAAATAACCATAAACCTACCAATCTATTTAATTATTAAATATAGGCTTGGACATAATAGGTACCTACATGAATAATATTATACAAAGTATTAATTCAAAAATTTTACTATTTATCAATTATATATATTATTAATATTCTGGTCTTTGAGTCATACAAAATTAATCTCTTTTAAAGACCATGTCAATAGGTAATAATATGGACAGTCGATACAGATAAATGTGCTTTGCAAATATAATATTTATTAATAGCTAGGTTGTATATTAAATATCAGTATATCACGTAATTAAAATGTATGAGCGATATAATTATTTAGTTGAATTAAAGGTTTTTAAAATACCATACGTATTTAATTGAAAAAAGGTAGACTATGATAGAATATGTTACGTATGCATAAAGTAATAAAATATCCAAAACAATTAAAAATCAAATACAAATTGTGTGAAATACCTACTGAAATACGTGTTGATTATAGTAAATCGCATTAGGTGCTAATAATGATGAATAAATTAGGTTTTATTACCTATTATATGTTAAAAAAGAGTTGCCAAAAACTTATAAATATAATCCTCAATGCATTCGATATGAATATAATATACCATAGTTACAAGTCATTAAATTTAGGTCATTTAAGTATTTAATACAAAAAAACTGTAACAAATTAGTTAAAATTTGTATTGCACTGTTTTGTAATCTAAATTATACCTACCTACATTAATAGTACAAATTTGTCTTGATCCACTTTGTGGCAAATTCGCAATTGGATCAAATAATTTTTTTATTTTGGCTACTTAAAAATTTATCAAAGAACCTGATTTTTAACTAACTATCAAGATACATTAGAACATCAAATTATGACTGTAAAACTACAAAATATAAAAATGGGAAAAATATACCATAAATGTTGGTGATTTTACAACATATTAGTTAACAGTTCTTTTTAGTTGTTTTCAGAAAAAAAGATAAAGAAAATTCCCGAATAAAAGATTTAATATAGGCTTCCTTTGCTACAAAGGTTTAGTCACGTCCATATACGTATAGGTACTCCAACACTCATCTCACATAATATTATATTATTTACTTTCAGTGATTGTTTTGTGATAATGAATAAATATTCAAACAGAAACAATGTGATTCTTAAAACAGTAAACATAAATTATTTTAAAAAGTTTTGACTTTTTCTTATAAGTTTAAGTTATTATAAAATAACGTTTTTTATCTTCATACTTGATTAAATCGTTATTTTTATAAATGGCCGCAAGCATTTTTAATTTCATAATATTCCAAATCAGAATATTTGTTTAATAATTTAAATTTATATGAACAGCACTTTGAACGAGTATTTAATTAATTATACGTATTTAAAGTTTTGATAGGAAGGGGTACACCACAAAATTTTGGTCTATTACTCCATTCATTATAACTTTATACAGACATTCTTGTACAGTATTCTTTTTTTCAGTTGCCAAAAAATTCATGGTTACTGGATTTTTTTCCAGTTATTTTATTGTATTGATTTAATTATTTTAAACTAATATGATGGGTACTTACATTTCATTAAAATTATATTTTACATAATTATTGTGCATTACGAAATTGTGACTTAATTTTTCCACCACCTAACACATTGTACTTTACTGTAGTAGGTAGATTATACTATAGGAATTGTCATGTTCAGCAAAACTTCCAAATTTTGAGTTACCGAAAGTGAACAGACGCGGACTAACTGGGATGCTGGGATGCTACAGCATCCCTTGCCCTAAAATATATTTGCCCAATATTATTTACAATATATTTAAAGACTCTAGACACCTAATGAACAGCAGATCGTAACCAACTTACGATTATTATTAATCTATAATACTGTACAATTTTGATTGAAAATTTGTTGTAACTTGGTACTTATTTTAAGTTTTTAACGTATATTCAATATTTTTTAAAACTAAATTTATTAATATATTAATATTTTATAAATAATCTACATGTTTTAAATTTGTCCCAAAATTTTTTGTTATTTGCCCTTTAAATTGTGTAGCATCCCGTGTCCTATTTTACCAGTCCGCGCCTGCTTGGGAGCATGCAAGGTAAAACGTACAGTTAATGCGATTGCCGGGATGATAATTGGCTTTTATATAAAAAAAAAACAATTTCATCACGTAAATACTGAACAAATAGCGCTATAAATAAATTTATATTTTACTGATGAGTTTTCTGGGTGTAGGTCGTAGGAGTTCTATTGGTCGTATTACATCTTATAACTTTTTCCTTAAAATGCATTAAATAATAATCGTGAAAACTAAATCAAAATCCGTTTTTTAATTTATCAAGGAGTGAGGACATATTATGTACAAAATAAAAGGACAGTATCTTTATATGTAGTGAGCATTATGGGTAAAGATTCAGAAATAGTTTATGTATCATATTATATAATATACCATAGTAGGTACGTACGTATATATTATTATATAATAGTGTAGTATATAGAGATAGACGATAGTTAACTAATTAACTAATTAACTACAATTCGTATAAAATTCAATTTTTATGAATCAAAATTCTCAGAAAAACGTCCTGCTTTGGTATATAAAATTAAAAATATATACTCATTTAAGAAAAAGAAAAAACAATTTAAACTTCATAACGATAAAATTAAACTTATTTTTAAATTATTTTAACTAGTAATTTATTTTTTTAAAATTATTTTTTACAACTAAGATTAACCAAAAAAATTGTAAAAATCATTAACACGTTGATTAACACGCCATGCTATATATGTTACATGATTAGTATTTAGTAGGCAGGTAAAGGTTCCATGTACCTACTTATTATAATGTATAATGAAATAATGATGAAATATCATCGAATACTTACTAGAGAGTTTTCAATACCATTTTGAGCAAACCAAGTATCAACCAACCATAATTTACTTCATATCTAAATAACGTTTGACATTTATTCAACCGATGAGATGTTAAGTAAGTTTGCTAATTGTATTGGAATAATACATTACTATATAATATGCAATTACATATTGTGTACCTATGTTATGTGTGGCGTTAATTATAAATATTATTATCTCGATAAACTCTTCGCCATATCAATATTTTTAATATATTTTATATAATTCACAATAAAAGTTTTAAGTTCTAGAACCCTGAACTCAAGAGTTTTCACCCTGGGACAAAACCTATTATAATTACGCCCACTAACTGGAGTTATTAATACAATTTTATTGCACTTTTATCATTATTATTATTATTAAAGTAATATTCGAGTGTAAAAATGAAACTGGAAACTGGAAATCATTATATTATACTTATTATGTAAATAATATGTAATACAACACACGACAATAAATCTATTGAGTTGTACTGCGTTTATTCGAAATAAATAAATAACCGGTCGATATGCTGTATAATAGTATATAGTGTATAGTGTAAATACATGCATTTGTTGCTTTTTCGAATATTTTCATGACTGTTTATTACTTTAAAGTTTTCAGTATTCGATTGTTTACTTAGTACAGCCAATAACCATGTACGTAGAGTATAATATAATAGACGTTATTATTCAAATAATTTCTTCTGATTTTGGGTCATATTGATTTTGTCGAAATTATTATTCTTAATATTATTATGTTTTATTTGTACCCAATTTTTGCAGATTTCCATTGACTCACTATTCGTGTAGCGGTAGCGAAAACCACGCGACGGTGGACACGCGATCGCACCAGGGCGAACAGACACGGATGATGAAGGCCACGGACGATATTAACAACACCACGTCGCTTCTACTTTTGGTCGAGTGTCTTATACACACAAAGTGAATATTTTTTCCTTAGTCATAACTATACACATTAAACCAATACCTATTATCTATGGCCTAAACCTACCTATCAACACGTTCTGATGACAGAGGTGGTTCTTGACAAGTCCCAAGGTGAGTGGGGGAGAGAGGTTGGCAAAAATTTGCATAACATACATATATTTAAGATATACATATTTTTTCGTTGATAGCGGTTAGGTTTAGGAGAAATTCTCGTGTGATACATTTATACCTATTATATAGTATGAAAGAATTATTATTTAAATGGTTTGTAATTTGAAAACAATGATGACTATATACTAGGTATATAGAGTAACATATTTATCATACATTTTTACTACTTATCATCACATTTACACAAACCAATAGTAGGGTTAGCCCAACCTTACCCTGCGTACCACAAGTTGAGAAACCCTGCAATAATTAATTAAAACAAATTACGACAAACTCACTCATCGGTAAAAAAACATACAATAAAACAATGGTGGAGACCGCGGTGTCTCCTGGGGAATGCTAATATACTGAATACTGATATGTAATAATAGTTATTATGGCGGAAATTCGCAAGTCCCTTTCATAAACATGGGTTGCAACTCGAACTAGATTTAGAGATTGGCCTGTAACTCACTAACACCGCGTAAAACCACCACTGAAGATGGCGATTTATAACTTTACAATATTATGATATAATTATGTTTCTCTTCGACAGGTGGGAAGGAGCTTCGGTGCAGTGGACCGGCGTTACAAATGCGGTGAATTAATAAAGCATAATATAGTTACATTATTATAGAGTTGCAGTATACCTTTTACCTACAGTTGTTCATTGTCCAAAAACAATTATTAAAAATTGGTTGTTGAGTGTGGTTACTGAAATATCAATAATTTAACAGAAAATAGACCATAGTATATGTATAATACATATATATTGTACACCTATATAATATACTAATTATTCATATAATATTTTGTGTATTTAATTAAAAAATAAAAAAATTAATACGATGCATCCTGTAGTATAATAATATATTTTTATTAAAAAATAACAGGTATTAAATCACTTTACGATGCTCTAATTAATTTTAATTAATCAAAAAAAAATACAAAGAAACTAAATTAAATATAGAATACTGAAAGTTGTTTTTTTTTTGGAACAAGTATGTTGTATGTATAATAATATTATGGTTAATAATGTCTATGGATTGAGTTTTTTAATGTATAATATACCTAATATACGACATAATATATTTATTCTAGGTATTTTTTTTTTATATACTGGAAATACATATAATATATAAATTGAAAACAAAATAACAATGATTTGGCTGTCTACAGTATTAGGTAAAGTAAACAAATAAAATCAATTATATTGCATTTTAAATAAATTATTCATAAATAATAACGCTGTTAAACCGTCGAAATCCAAATGGTTTCCATTTAAAACCTGTAAAAAAAATGTAATTATTAAGCACGAGAATTCCTAAATCCATAGGTACCTATGAAATAAATCGCGAATTTATATTGTTTATAAAGAAAACCAAAAAAGGTAGAGAAAATAAATAAGTTGATCTCATTTATATGCTTGAATTTAGAAGTTCATATTTATACAGATATTTTTAAAATTCTATTAGCCACGGTCATATTTAAAAATGTATTTAAATGAGTTAAATAATACAATGAAAACTTAGTAGCATACTTTAATAAGTCTGTTTAAAAAAAAGTTAAAATAATAACTCGATGTGTGGATGTATCATTATATACGAAATACGTTGTACCTCCGTGGTACTTCGATAAAAGGAAACAGTGACCGCTTTCCTAAGTTTTTCAGTATCTGGTGGTTTTGCGACAGCACTTTCTGATTCTCATCTACGTGTCGCCGCGCCACCTCATACATTAATTTTTGTCGGAGGACGTCCAGTGAGTTGACGATGGACAAACTAGGGCGACTTCTCGGTGATTCACCTTGCATTGCGCCGTTCCTCTTTTCGATCGCAGCCATGTCAAAAAAGTTTTTCTATCAAAAAAAAAAAAACCAAAAACCAAAAATATTAACGTATTGTATCGTTAAATTTCATATCAAATTAAACATTGAATAGCTGGTAATGCACTGCAAAATATTATATTATATTTAATGATTTTTTCCGTAAAAACGCTTTATATAAAGAAACTTATTTATCGTACATATTGTATTTTATATTATACTGAATGTGGCCGTCGTACGAAATATAGGCAAGATAAAATAAACACAGTTGTGCGTCGATTGGAACCTTTTTTGTTTATTCCTTCGGTTAAGGTAAATCCGTATTACGTTTATTGTTTTTATCAAAACCACGAAGTAAGATTAAGTTATCTCAGCCGGACAATGTCTAAAAAATAACTCTTTTCAAGGCACAAAAACCTCTGAATTGAAAACTAAATCGAAAATAACGGAAATAAACGGAATAACAAGTTTGGAAAAAATGTTGATAAATAATATTGTACCTACAAATTCTTTTACTGTCTACTGAATGTCTGAACAATGATTTTCTTAATTTTTGTAAAACCCTTTGGAAGTTCATAATGATTTCATTTTATTTTTATTTTTTTGTATTAAAAGAGTTTTTATTTAGGTAATCTGTTACAAAATAGAACAATAAGAACAATTGATAAATGTATTTTAATTTAATGGATAATAAAAATAATTTATTACTTAGGGGACTATTTATAATATAAACAAGTGTTTTATGCAATATCGTGTATTAACACAATAATATTATCTCGATAATGTACAACTGTGAACTTATACAAGTTGTCTAAATCACGTAGAATCAGTGGTAAATGGCAATACCTACATTAAATAATTGTATAGGTATGCAAAATTAAAAATAATTACATTTAAATATGAGTATATTATGACTGAATGTATTATTTATCTATTAACAATGTATTTATACTTTTGACTTTTGGATATAACTTTGGAAATTTATATCATTATCAATTATAATATATAATACTAGCTGATTCTGTACGGCGTTAACCTGCAATGGCAACCCAATATAAACAAAACAAAATAATCGTTTTTCGTGAGCCAACAAAATATGAAATAACAAAATACCCCCGTGAGAGCTCCTTTTGAAATGTACAATTTTATTATTTGGCTTCGAGGTGCACAATCTCGAGGGTATAGCCGCATAGGATTACACGTGTAGGATTTCAGAACCATCAGTGCAATAGATTTAGCTGTGTATTTCTTATACACACACACCCACACCTATACATTTAGAACACTTGGTTCACATTCAAATATTTCATGTTCATATTTTTATCAATATATTTTAACTATTGTCTTATAATATTATATAAAACAATTAGAGTATAGGTATCTATTTTAAGACACATTAAATATTATTAAATGAGAAACAATATCGCTTCCAGCTGTCTACTATGTTCTATGTTATTACAACGCAATCTAACTGTTATCTTATATTGTTTTAAACAGTTAATATAGTTAACGCAATTACAAATGTATAAATAATAAAATATATAAGAAAAGAGATATGTACGTAAGTATCTATTTACCAGCGTGGCCAAAAATCTAATATTTCAGTTTTTTTCACATGCCTTATTTCAAACTTCAAACACTATAATATACGACGTATAACCAAGTCGAGGACTTTAGTTTTGACGGATGATAATTTAAAGATTAATATTCAGCCCAATGTGCACGAGTTGCGTGTATCCGTATATAGGTAGGTACTGCTGTACTAGCAGTTTAAACACGTCATTGAACACGGGCCAAATGCATTTTAACCCCCCAGAGTTTTAAAGTGCTTTAAAATTAATATTTTTAGTTTAGTTTGGTACAACATAAAATATTACGCTGTCTAGTCCTGCTCGCTTGTAAATCACTAAAATAAAATTTGGGTTTCATTTTCTACTATACAATATATTATTATTAATATTAATATTAAATAATATATTATAGTTATGATGGCGGCGTAGCGTATACAATATTTTATCTCGACCGTGAATACTGAATATACGTTCTAAATAAAAAGGGGTGCATTGTGTACGTCATAGTGTACCGAGTATTTCGAATGGAAATGTTGTACTAAACAACAAAAACAAACAGTGTACATACCGTAACCTACCTATCGAATTCCAATGAGCCGACGATTTGTCGTCCGGTTATTGTATATTGTACATCAACGCCGTACATCGCGTGTACCCAAGTCAAAAAGATATTGTCGCCGCGTGTTTATATTGCCATTGTTCGACACGTTTAGAACAAAGGGTTCATCTGTACATATATACCTACATATGATGTCGTATTATATTATATATAGTGTTTTGTCGATTTTCCGTTTTTATTTTTTTTGTTCCGGGACTATAATATATATATATATAAGCACTATATACGCAATACTAAGATAAAAGTATATAGGTACTACGGTCTATTGAGATATATATATATAATTGTCAGTTATACTACTACTGTGCTATAACTGCAGCACTACATCTACCATATCCTTTACACGGCCGCAAAGAAGTTTGCAAACCCATTCTTCTCCGAAAGCAATTATTATAGTTCTCGCGTTGCTCTCTCATATATTTAAGACGCCCACGCTCACCAGTTTTACGGCGGTCTCGCTCGAATTGCCGACGTAAACTACCGAGGACATTCGTCTTAAATCTTGATCCCGCGGTCTCAGTTCCGGTGAACAGCGGGTAAAGTCACTGTTTTATATATCCCGAGAGCCTAACGCGGCTGCTGCACAGTGTAGTATATTATAATGGGTGTAATACACATATAGTACATATACATACCTCTCGCTTGTGTGTGTGTGTGTGTGTGTGTGATGTATATAAGGACTTTCAGTACACGTAATAATCGCATTCGGAGAGATAATATAATTGTAGGTAAGCCCAAAAAACGCTCATTTACGTATATAGTCTAATAGTATAAGTGGTACAAGTACAACTTAACCTAACCCGACGACTTTATATTGTGACTAATATATTATTATAATATTATATAGTATTATAGTGTGACAGGTACCTACCTACATTATGATATAACGATACATATTTGGGTCAACATAAGTAAACGTACAATGACGATATTGTGATACCTATGCGTTTTGGAAAGGTCGTAAAATATTTTAGTATTTAACCAATGTTTATCCACGGGTTTTCTTTTATAAAAATTCCCCGGAAGCAAACCCGGGTTAAGTGAGGCCATAGCCACAGAACCTCAAAACTTGACATTTTTTTAGTGCTTCGGATTTTACTATAGATTTTTTTATAGCAGCCAAATAATTTACAGTAGGTACTTATTGATTTATGCATATTAAATTCATAGTCTAATAAAACAATTCTCCATAATTATTATTTCCGCTTGTATAAAGACTTCAAACAAAGGACTATTACCTATTATCGGTATAATCTATAGATCAATAAAAGTCTATTTTTATACACATTTATAACAGATTGTTCATACCTGCGGTATCACGCCATGATAATATAGTAGAACGTCACGCGTTTTTTGTCAATATAAACACGGTTTAACGATTAGGCATACAAGAAAATTGATCTACACTTATGATAGTGTTATCTGAAAAAGGTGTTTTACAGATAATCAATGACAATGAAATTATTAGAAAATTTTCAAATGCAAAAGTAAGAAAAAAATCGTATAATATAATGCATTGTTTGGGCATAAGATACATTAATAATAAATAAACCAGGACCCAGGACCTCATAAAGATTTAATCCAGATTTGAGCAGAAAACACAATTTTAGTAGATCGTAACATATTCACCAAAAAATTAATATAAAAAAACACCTATTAATAGTAATGTTTTTTAAACTTAATTTTTTTTATATTAATGTACCGAAGTATTATAAACTTATATACGAAGAGAAAATAGGGATGTTATTGTTTGTCACAAAGAATACTAATATAAATAAAGTCACGATTTAGGAGCAATTTTACCTCGATTTCCAAGACGTGATCAAGGACAGAAATGCATCTCTACGTGTGGCTCAACTATATTATGTTATCAAAGTCAGTTTAAATGGAAGTTATTGAATTCAACTGTTCAACCGTGTCCACGTTAGTTAATTGAAGTGACAGTAGAAACCAATAGAATTAGTTGAATAAAGAGCCCTGGATAGTTTTAATTAAAAAAGCATAGCATATAAAATATAAGTCGATTTGTAGTGTTATCTGTGCGTCTGGCTCTACATTTTACACTGACAATGGGTTTTATGTTGAATGTACCTACTACATACCAATCTGAGATTTTTTTATTTGTATAAAATCACTGAAAAAATGTATTTCAGTCCAAATCAAATATTGTTATTTATTCAAAAAGGAAATAACGGAGACGTAGTTATATTTCTATAATAATGGTCCAATGCAGAAAATGTACGTATAACTTAAGAACGTTAGAGAACCATATTTTATTTTTAAGTAGTCATGTGCTCATATGTAATTTAAAGTTCAAACAACAATGATATTTATTTTTAGAATGAAGAAAGCGTAGATACTAATTTGAAGTTATCCCTATATATTAACCCTATGCATAATTAAAAAACATATTACAATTTTATATATTATACACGCACCTACATAATATATTGGTGTTTAATAAATTGTATTGTAACTAAGTTAATTTGTTTTGCTTCTTTAGTATTGTCGTAAAATTAATTTGTTTTTAAGAGTAATATACCTATATAATTGGACGGACCCCCAAGCATAAAAGTTTTTTCATGTACATTAATTTAACTACCTCCATGGGCTACATGTTACGCGTTAATTTGCCATTTGTGTAAAGCTGTCTACACGATTAAATTATGTATTCATTAAATGGCAATGCACCACATAGAAGGATAAGAAATATTTAAGAAAGTTTAATGTGAATTGTGAATATTTTATAATATAACTATGAATTATAACTCGGTTATTAACACCTTTTTCATTTCAAAAACAATTTAAATATGATATATTTTGTTATCTTACACATTATTATTTTTTTTCAATGATTAAATATGCGCTTGGTTGAAATCGAATACTATGTAGGAATACCCATGACAAAATAGATAGGTATTATCACAGTTGTAATATTTTTTATCAGTATGCGCATCTCCTTCCCCTCCACCTCATGTCGTAGTTCTCCACTTCTGATTGGTTGATTTTAGTCTATATGTTATATATGTATACTGTATGTACAATATGATTGACAGCCTATAAGAAATGAAGAACTATGATATATGTGAAGTAAAAAGCGGAGGATGAGAATCAAAAAACTGTGATGATACCTGTCTATTTTGTCATGGGCATAGGCGGTACTAGACCCTCTTGGCAGGGGGGGCCAGAAAATATTTAAACTATCTAACTATATGTTGGGAAGGGGGGGGGGGTCGTTAATGGGTGACTTCCCCTTCACCCCAATAAAACCCCTTCCAATTTACTCATTGAATAATTTTGTAAATATAAAGGTGGGTAAGTGGATGTCGCTCTGCTGTACTGTAGGTTACAAGTGGGTCACTGTATAATGGATGGTATTAAATTTGAATGCAATGATATAATATCATTGTATTAGAAAAACGATTCTGAGCGGAGACGGTATGTCAGTCTAGGTATAAGACATATTATATACTTTTCTATGGTATTAAAATATTAAATTATATGGTATTTATGAATAAATTCCTTAAAATATGCACAGTCTTATCATGAGCATAATTGTTATTCCTTATACTATGGTAGATTGTATGGATAGGCCATAATATTTTGATTTTTCAGTTTCATATATCCCCGAATAATATTTTTAAATTTCAACAAAAACAAAGATCGTTAATATTGATTTTAATATTTAATTTCGTCCAAATTTGAATTTAAAATGTCTGTAAAAAATAACTGTGTTCATATATTTTTTAGATTTTTTGGTTACAGTATGAACTATTTATGAGAACCTTTGTTTTAAATTTGCAATCTTTAGCTATAAAATCTGAACATTTTATAATTTATTAATTACAATGATTGATAATTTTCGAGATTTTGTCAAAATTCGATGTTTAAATGCTTATAAAAAAAAATTGTGCCTATGTATTTTTAATATTTTTCAATTGCTACTGTAGCAATATATCAGGAACCTTGTATTAAATTTTTACAGTTTTTGGCGCAACAGATAAAACTTTATTGATATTTATAGAAAAAAAAACTAAAAAAATTGAACAAATTTAACAATTCGAATCTTTTCTTATCTATCGCAATGTTGTAACGTTTTGACGCACATCACCTTATCAGGATTCGTTGATAATAAAATCACAGAATAGATTAAATAATAGAATATTCTTTAAGTGTGTGTTATCATTCACAGATATTTTGGAACAAATTTCGTATTGAAAAAAAAAATTTATATATTTTTAGAGTTAGGAAACCGAGATTTAAGGAATTATGTATTAATACAGGTACGGTTCGCAGGAGGGGCAGTTGCCTACTCTGCCACCCCCGTAGTACCGCCTATGGTCATGGGTATTCCTTATCTACCTAATGAACTATTTGAATATGTTTTAATTAAATCATAATGAGTTTACTTTTTTTTATACTCAAGTAAACTTTGTCTACAATTTAAGATACATCTTGTTATAGAAATACGTTATCTTTTATTAATTCCAATGGAATACGAAGTGCCAATATTTATAACAATTAAACCTGAAAATCAGAATTAACTCTGAAGTGTATTTCAAACAAACTCTACTACAAGAGTGTTGTTAGATAAACCTTTTGTTAGCACTTAGAGACAAACTTTGTTCCTTTGTGGATACATTGAAGTAAGTATAACTTGTCGTTTTTTTCCATACATCTAATATGACCAGGCTTAAGAAACTTATATGTTGAAACCGCATAAGACTTAGTGAATGTGGCAAGCGTACTCATTTCAAAGTGTTGTTTTTAAGTCGGATAACTTTTCTCATTGGATTATCATCGAATGTACTTCGCAATAGATTCCGTTCGTTGTACGCAATAAGTAAGATAAGAGCAAAAGCTCTATAGATTTGTCTAAGAAAAAAATGGTGTTGGTAGTTGATCCTTCTATAATGATCCATACCTAAATGGTTTCATATTATTAACACGTCAAAATAAATCATTTGAAGCGTGTTAAAAAAAATTTCCGTTACCTAGGTAGAAAACCAACTCGCTTAAGATAATAATATTATATATTATATTCTTCTGGACATTACGAATTCCTATTTCCTATGCATTTTTACGTAGACCTATATTATAATATTATTTATTACACAAACTAAGAATCGTGAATTTTTAATGATTTCTACTGCTGTCGGTGGTTTGGCAGAAATAATATTCAAAACAACTGCACGTTATGAAAGACGAAAGAGGACTTACGTCGAGAAGCTCCAAGTCCTGAATTCTGGGCTCATAGTAACGGGTGTTTTGAACCACCGGGTCATAGATAACGGCGCTGTCGCAGCACCACGTGACCACAACCAAAATCCAGGCGATCGTCAAAATCCTCATTGTGTGATTACGAATTTCGGCTGTAGCGCTGACGATGATTTCTGCAAAAAAAGCAAAACAAAACATTCGTCTTAGAGCTATACACATAATATTATAATATGTATTATAGAGCTACTGCGATTTCTATTTAGCAGTAGTCTTTTGCTAGCAAGCTGCGCATTGATAATATTAAATTACAATTTCGAGAGTGTCCGTCGATCGTTGATGTCTTTTCTCCACGGACTCTGCGATGTATTGAATTTATTGCTTCAAAGCGTAAGTGTTATTAAATTTTTTTTTTTTTTGTGTGAATAATTGTTGTCTCAGACGCCCAGTTTTTCACGAAACCCCGGGCGACGCTATTTAATTTCCAACACTAGTAACATGATCGTTACACCGTTTGAGGACAAGTAGTCCGCTACGATGACCGACGGTCTCATGATATTGTGTTGATGAAACCGCACGGGTTAATTAATACAACGGTATATATACTTGAAACAAACGACAATTATTAATTTGGTTTTCAAAAATCGTGTCGAGACGACGACCACCAACAACTGCACGACTAGAGTGAATGATACATTGGCTATTATACATGATCCGTTATATGAATATATAAACTCGTTCGACCTTTGTGTTAACTCCCACAACCTTAATTTAGACATTATTATCGGGAAATTGCCTATTATTTTTTTCATATTTGTATATCTAATCGTTTTAATTCCCTGGGCAAACTACAAATTACAAAATATAATATACTAAAAAGTAAAAATACAGATTGTGATAATATACTCTATTATTCACAATAACGGACTAATGGACAATGACCCTTATTTAAACAGACATATTAATAGTAACGTAAAAATAATGTACGGATATAGTAATAAAAAACCAATGAAAGATTTACCAACGTATCAATATAATATTATTATTACCATGCCTATAGGATTTTGACAATTTCGTATTAGATATTTAAATCGAAATAATGCAAAAAAAAAATTAAAACCAGTGTGGTATAGTAATAGTATTTGAATCAAATAGCCAAGTTGTTTGGGTACAAAAATTAATAATAATTAATTTACTAAAATAAAATGTTAGACTTACACAGCAATGTAAACAAATACAATGTGTATATTATACACTGCAGTGTCTCAAAACTTCGTTAGATTAGACTAAAGGTTCTAGGAGGGCTAACTTAGGTTGAAACATTCCAATTTCCATCATACCATAACTATTTACACACAATATTATATTTTCTAAATATTTAGACTAATTTAAAGGAATTTATTATTAGGTTTATTTATTAGGTTGATCAAATTGTTTATACAAAAATCGCATATACTTATTGTAAAACCAACACATTTGAATCTTTAGGAACAATTTTTTTTGAAATAAAGTAATAGTTACTCAGAATTCTTAATTTATTGATTTAATGCCACTGACCGGGTTAATAATTATATTTGATTTTTTTTTTCATTTCTTGGACTATTTTGAACACTGGCTGAAAATTGAGTGGTAAGGTAATCAAACCACCTCTTAAACCGACTTTGACAGTAAACACGGTGATTAATCGTACCGCCTCCCTTCCTGTCTACGTATAACTAGTGAAAATAATTGAAAGTTTATTATTAACGATACACAATAAAGGGAAACGTCGAATCATCGATAATGCGCTTAGTTTCTAAAACTAAACTTGGAGCAGAGAGAACAAGCTGCTATTGAAGAAATCTAGAGTATATAATTTTATCTAACTAAGACAGAAGTAAAAAATTCTTATAACTTGAATTTGACACGAATTTAAGCTGTCGACATTAAAACACTGCTCGATGAACAATAAAGACTGACAATCGTATTATTATATTCAATAACGTTTAATAATGTTAATAATATCATATTCAAACCATATAAGAAAAAATTTTAAAAAAACGTTGTGTTAGCTACCTAATATACATACCTATATGTACATATTACACACATTGATGTTAAACTACGTAACAATTATGAACATGTGACAAAACATAGTACATAGGTTGCGTACCGGCGTACCTCCGTCTACATAGTTTTCCCGTAGTGCCATTGTAGGAATTGTAGGAATTCCAAAGGAACTCGGAATATCAAATAACCCCTTAAAATGTTTGTTTTGTTTTGATGTACTTACACCGAACTAGTTAGTTCGCGTACAATGTATGTATATGGTATGAAAATTATTCACACTACAATAAAGTATTTAAATGTTCTAAAGATTGTAAAAGATAATATGAACAATGTGACAGGCATTTATTTTAACCGTCTTCCATATTATAGCTTATATTGACATTTAAAATAAGTTCCTGAAAAAAAAAGGAAACTCGCGAATATCACTCACAAGTATTTCAAAAAAAAAATACCAATTGCAGAAATTGACGTATATTATAAGCGCCTCTATTGAATATTACATTTGAAAAGTTTTATTGCATTTTGTAAAGTTGTGGTGACATGTACACAAAGCATATTCACCTAAATTATCAAAATATCTTATTGAATATTTTTATATCTGTTGTGACGTACAAACAATGATGCACATTTTCCATATTATTTCTTCATTTATACATTATATTTTAACCTAAATATGTTTCTAATCATTTCAATATTTCACGATAATTAGAAAAATTACTTTAACAACATCCGTAACGAAAACAGGAAGAGTAATATTAATAGTTCAATGGTTGTAAGTTGTAACTAATTGCTTGAAATGTTTATTTTAAATTAATTGAATAACGTAAAATTAGTTCTTCTTTAATTTAATAAATATGGATAAATGTCTAATGTACATTAATTATGTTAGCGATTTCATTAATTATTTTAAAATATACAAACCTACAAAATAACATTTTTTTCCTATTTTTTTTTTTACTTGACGGCCTCGAAATAATAAACATTAAACCTATTAATAATTGATATTTCGGCCGAGTGGATTAAGGCTTAGTTTGCGACGCACACCGGCGCCGGTTCAATGCCGGCCATGGGTGGCATTTTTCTTTGGGCAAGTCACGGTGTCTGGAGAGAAGTACCGCCATCCCCAACTCGGGCATGGCAGATACCAACGGGGGCCCACTAAAAAAAAATCTGCCAAACCAAAACACAAGTTTTTAAACTTACAGTACCCTTCCCAAAACCACCCAATGGAATAAGTCAAAGCGGGTTAATTAATAAAAAAAAAAAATTGATATTATCAATGTGTATTCTATATAATATTAAAATATTCTTATATAGGTACCTACTCACTACTCAATGATATAATTGTGTTTCAAATAAAACAATTAATTTTATTAATTTTTATTGGGTTTATTCGAAAGTTTTATATTTTGTTAAACAGTTACACCTAAAAATGAATGTGAATATATATCTAATTTGAAGCATATTATTATGGGAATAAACCTATGAATATTTAAATTTTTTCTCTTTAAAACGATTAAAACTTTTTTTTAGTACATACCCATATAAAATATATTCATTATAACTGTTTATAATAATCCTATTATAGTTTTAAAATAATTGATGCAACTTGGTTAAAAGATATTTTTTTTCTTTTTGTATTAAATGTTTTTATTTATAACAATTTATTACAATAAAACTGTATTAAATTAATATACAATTAGGATATATATTTTCTTAAGACAAACTATTGTTAATCATTTTTTTTTTTTAAATGAGAACATCATATTATTATATTTGTTTAATAGCGCAGACAGCATCATTTCGTTGCCCACAATACTTCAGTCATAGCAGTGAATCATGAATGGGTTTGTGTATTAATTTTTCTAAAAGGTATTATGTTTAAAACAGTAATACTATGTAGATACTTTTTATACTTGTTAAAGCAATTTTAGTGGTCAATGCTCAGATAATATCCTATTAAAATGTAGACATAATCTAAGCTCCACATCAAACCGACTATCACGTATTTTTATAATCGTTTTGGTATACAAAGATTTTAAATCCAATTTTTATAAACATGTTTTTATTTTAATCGGGTTAATACACGATTTTAGAACCTTATGTGTATTATATTATGGTCCCTAAGTACACTTTTATTAATTTATCTGAACCTTTCAAATATTGATAATTTGTGTTTTTACTTTATATTACCTAGGTACATATCTATTTTATATCAACAGACTATTGACGTATTTTACTTGGCTAAAACAAAGATGGATGTAAATTATGGAATGTGGACAGATAGGTACTGTGAATAGTTACTACAGAGCTCATGTTTGTCTGTAAAATTTGGAGTTAATGTATAAAGTGGCATTTGAAAAATAAATTTTCGTAAAAATCATGGGTAACTCAAAATTGTCAATGATTAATTAGGAAAGACTGACAATTACAATTTTTTTACGAGGTTTTCAATTTTGAGTACCTACATGCTACATCCTATATGAATGTATTGGTTTTACAATGTTGTTTTTTTTTTTTTTCTTCACCTTTTGGATCAGTAAAAGTTTAGATATAAGATATGTAGTTAGAATTCTAATAGAAAATTGGATCAAGTTGGTACTCTAACTTTAAAAGAGTCGAAAGTAAAATGTTCGCAGTACTTTACTCAATAAACGGGAATATTTATGAAACACTAAATTTCCACACAATTAATTTGTGTTTTTAATAATTGTTTTTTTTTAAATTATTATTATTAATAAAAATATCCTCGGTGACATAAGATATTGGGATACTACATAGTACATACAAGTATTATTTACATCTAGAACTTAATTATAATGGTATTACATTTTGACGTTTTTGTTGTTATTCAAGTCTGTAGTATATATGAATTAATGTTTACCAAATATTTATATAATCATTTTTTAAACAATGTAATATTTAAAAAATATTTTCGATCATTTTCAACTATTTTTAGAAGTTTGTAATTGTCTTTTTTTATTATTTTATTAGTTTTTCTTTCTTTAAATGTTGATATAAAATGTTATGCTCAGTCGACAAGCTTGAAAATATACAAGTTTTCTTATAAATAGTTCATTTGGAATTAAAAAAATAGGTTAGCGTAAAGAGACAATATTGTTGGACAATTCTGAAGTTCAGTTGTTTTATAACCTATTCTATTAAAACAACTG